CGCAGTGTCTCTTAAGTAAAGGACCAGATTCAACGCAGAGCCAGGTCACTTCAGGAGACAAGATCCCAGCCTGTGATCTGGCTGCGCTTCACCTCAAGTGCCACAGAGAAAATGCTGCCACTGGAACTAATTGAAGGCAAATTAGTAAAACCAGGAGCCATGATAGGAGAGAATGTCCTCTGTAGCATTCAAGAAAGCAACCAGACAATCTAAAGTCTGTCAGAGATCTCAGGGTGTGCAAGGCCGAGGCAAGCATTCCTTTTTCACTCATCCCCTATTTCTTCCCAAGTTAGCTACAGCATTTCCACAGCAAAACTAGTGCCCAAGTCCATGCAAACAGCTTCTAAGTACTCACTGGAATTCAAAGATCAAAAGCCAGATGATCAAAGATAACTTAAGTCCGCTAGACAGCTAACATTTAAAGCACCTATTTTTCTTCAAAATGCTTTCAATGCTCTCACAACCTACAGTGGTTCCTCACAAAGTGCTGTGATCACACAAACCTGTAGTAGCATTTTCCCAATAAACAGGTACTTATCCAATTTCCAGCGGCTATCCATTCCTGCAGACCAGGAAAAAAACAAACAAACAAAAAACCCACCCATTTGCAATGTCCCTCCTCCACTCTCTGCACTAAGGGAAGCAAGAGGAGGAGGAAGGCAACAGGGCCCTGCTGGCCAGATAAGTTGCAGACTTTAAGGACAGGCTTGTTTTCCTTCTACTGCTGATAGAATCATATTCTAGAAACAGATCCTGCAGAGAAGTCCATCACTGCAGGTTGTACTGATCACCGACAACACGGAAATCCAGGCTGCACAAGTGTCTCAAAAGAACATTAGCAGTCCATTAGCTGTCCAGGATGCTGTGCCACTCCCGGAGGCATGCATTTACCTGGTTTGTAAAATGGTTTATTCAAAAGAAAGATGAGCTTGTTGTATACAATTCCAAATTCACACTGTAATTCGTGTTCAAAAACATCACAAGAGTTTCCATCAGTCAATCAGAACAGCTTTGCCACATGCCCCTCAGCACATTCTATCAAGGAACGGCAGAAGCAAGTCCAGAATACAGACCCTCCTCTGGCAGCCCAGGGAGCCAGCAGACCCTGCACTCTGATGCTCTGCTCCACAAGAGGCAAGCAGCAGTCACAGAGGTGACTCACCTCGTCCAAACCCTGCCCCTCCATCCCCACCTGAATGACGTGTGCTGTCTTTATGCACTTTGGGCTGCCTTCTGCTCCTCAGCAGTGCACAGACGGGAGGCACATTTACCAACAGCCCCATCATTTCTACACAAATGGTCAGGCTGAATCCATTCTTCCTGAAAATTTACTCTTTGGGCAGCAGGAACAAATGGCTCACCTCACCATTCAAAGTTATAAACACCTTTTTTCCAGCAATGCTTGTAGAGAACATCACACTTTGCTGTTGTGTGCTCCCCCCATTTCCTCACTCACACACAGCAATTCCTTTTTACCTCAATAGCAGATGCAGTTGCTTTCACATAAGAATCCAGAATTTAAAGACGACGACATCTATTGCCATAATCCATTGTGTAGGAGAAACAGACAGAAAATATCATTGTTCCCTGCACAACACTACGAGCTGTACTTTCTGCACTGAACACACTGAGCTCCACTTGAGGCAAAGGAGAATTTTATATCTGATCTAATACAGGATAAATCAATGAGTACTCATTTATTTCTTACACTTCCCATCAGCTCAAGGAGAGACACTGTCCTAGAGTTTCAAGGCTATCCACGCTGCCTTTGTGTAGGAAAAACATACCTCACACTTTGAGAACTATTTGAACACTTCCTTGGAGTTCTGGGAAGGACCGGAAATCACCTGGCACAGGCTGCTGCTCAGCAGTTACAGTGCAAGACTTTGGGCAAGGTCATACAACAGCATCTCTGTTTCTGCTTTCTGTAAAATCCATTCATGACAAACAAGCGTTGGAAAGCTTACTTACGTGCACAGAGCATTCAGATTCTCAGATAATTTGTACTAAGGAAAGGCAGATTTGTATTAATTAGTGTATGCTACGGATTCAAGGGATGAAAGCTCTTCTCTGTCTCTTCCAGCTGCTGGAGCTTGTAAGAAAAATTACCCAGCCTCACAGTCCTCCACACTGCATTCAGAGAACCTTCTGCAACACAGTAACCACACTTCTCTGGCTGCAGCCTGAATTCCAGTTGGCTCTGCAGGACTCTGACCTTCTAGGGCAGAAAGCAGGAGCTCCCCTGCAGATATGTATTTCAGCACAATTCGAGGAAGGCAGAGCTTTAATATTCCTCCCCACGCAAGTATTTTCTTCCATTATGAACTAAAAGCTGCGTGATTAGGGAGATTAATTTTTGCAGCTGGACATTTTCTTTAAGAATGCCATTTTCCACATAGTTTTCTCATTTAGCTCCTTTATTCCAATCCCAAAGCAATCACTTACCAGTACAGACCTCTCCTGCAAGATTCTGAAAGAAACATACACTTGCTCTTCAGTCTTTTCTTTTTTACATCAGCAACAAGTTTGTTTTCAAAGAACTCTATTGCTACTAATTTCAACCTTGTAATTTGTCTGCATTTCCAGACAACCAAATCTAAGTCTAGAATAGAGATTCATTTGCCAAAGGATTTGGTGGCAAAAGTTGTGTTCTGGATCAACTTAAGAATGGCACAAGAAGTTCCTTCAAAAAACAAACAAATGAAAAACAGTAGTGAGATCTGAACACACATCTTAGTGAGAGAGGGCTGAGACAGCCCTGGTTAAAATTTGGAGTGGTGAATGACACAGCAACACAGAACAGGCGTGCAACTTTCAGTTACACTGAAACACATCGCACTTTGCCTTTCCCTCAGTCACCTGTGAAGTGAGGTGGGTGATTTGCTGTGAATAGCTGTTACCTGGGAATAAACCTGAACAAATGCATTACATTTAACCCATCCAGCCCCCCTCAGCCCACAGCCAGGCATAGTAACAGCTGAGCTGTTGCTCCAAGCTCTGGTTCAATGATTTCTAATCAGAGTTTGGGCAAAAGAAAAATAAAACAGGAAATAGCTCCTGTCTTCTGATTTTCCATATCCTCATCCCTCTGGCAAGCTTTACCTCTCAGGAAAACAGGACTTCTCACACACTTTATCCCTCCAGAGGACAAGCCTCTGATAAGAACAAAGAAGTGCATGCTTTTGTTTGTCCCCAGCAGAGCAGGGACACATTGGAATTCCTCACAGCCTCCACGAGGCACAACTTCTCTGTGTTGCACAGAACATTTTCTTCATAAGCAAGGAAGAAAGCTGGACCCCATGCCCCATTTTTAATGAGCCTATTTTGCAAGTGATGGCACTGGTCCACTCATTAGCTTAAGCCTCCCAGTTCACAGAGTTAAAGATGCCCCTCAAGGTGTTGATGCCAGCCTTCCTGTGTCAATCTGTCATTCCATGCCTGCAGCACCACTGTGCTCAGAGGGCTCCAGAGGGTAATCCGGGATCACTTCCATAGAACAGGCTTAATATTTTTTCAGCAAGCTCAACTTTAACAGTGATTAAAAACATATAGTGAAGTAATAGTTCTTCAATATCAAGAGACACCTAGGTTAAGGAATTCCAGGAAATGAATTCTCAAAAACCACAGGGCTATCTTCTAAGAAGCAGAAAATTAGTTCCTCAGCAATTTCACTGTATTTCAAAGGGAGCAAATTGTGGACTATTTTTACTTATTAATATGCTCATTCCCACACTTGTGCTTCAACACAACCCTGTTGGCTTTAATCAAACCCATATAAAAACCCATAAAGCCCGCGTAATTTCTTTAAAGGATGGAAGAAAAAGGGACAAAAAAGTTAATAATGTTATTCAGTAAAAAGCCTATAAATACATGACAAAACAGGGATGCAGTCTCTGCTTAAATTAAATTAAATTAAATTAAAACAAAAAGATATGATGGAGCAGCAATGAAGGACAGAGTGGTGATTTAGCCACAGACATATGCTGTAGGGTTGGGACAGAAGAGGAAAAACTGTGACTGTCAGAAACCAGGAACTAGCTCAGGAAGTCAGAGGAGGAGATAACTAAGGGAACTCGTATGACTGCAAGAGGAAATCAAACCACAGAAATCACAGAGGAGATGGGGAAAAGGGACAAAGCACAGTGAAGAGCTACAGGCCAGGAAACAATGCATCTGATAGAAATGCTGTGCTTGCAGAAGCAGAGCTTGCACAGGATCACAAGAGCCTGCATACCTGCAACATCAGCTGGGAGTTGAGAGATGCGTCCAACAAAGCTGCTAAACCACATTCATAAGGGGTCACATCAAACAGGAGTCCACAAGCACGCTTCAGTTACACCTGATGTCTGCCTCTCACCTGCTGAGGGTAACGGCTCTAGCAAACGCTCACTGAGGTGAAAGCAGAGCTGCTGAGCGATGGGAGCTTTTGTGTTCCCTCTCCCCAAGACTGGCTACGTCCCACTGAACAGCTGGGTTAACAGGGCTGCGTATAAATTGTCTCCAAACACTCCTGATTCTTCGATAACAACACAATAAGGATTTTAAGGGCTATCAGCACAAATCCGTGTCCTTACTGCAGAAGTCAAAACCTAAACTAGAAATAGGCAAAACAACGGCTGCAAAAGCCAGCTCCTGATGGAAAACAGCAAATTACATCAGCGCAGCTGCTGCACCTGACATTGCGATGGCACAGCAGCACGGCCGGTGCGAGGAGCAGCTCTGTACCAAACGGAAGAGCTGAGCGTGGCGGCAGGGAGTCACAGCGCGGTATGCAAAGGACAGGTAGAACGTGCTGGAAAAGGACGGCTGGTCCGCCCCGTCCTCTGCCGTGCCTGCCGCAGCACGGCTCTGCCCGCACCGAACTGCACCGCAGCCCGTGCCGAGCTGAGGCCCAAGGCAGGACGGCACTGCCGACACGGACATGGAACCGGGCAAAGGTGAGATAAGGCAGCACGCCTTACTTTAACCGGGCAGAAATAAAATAAGGCAGCACGCCTTACTTTGGCCAGGCAGCTCCTCCTGATCCGCGCTGTCCCTCGGGGCCGAGGCGCCGCTGCTGCCGTCATCCAGGGTGAGGATGAGCGGGACGTCGTCATCCATACTGACGGCCATCCCTGTCTTCCCGAACCTCGTTTCCCGAGCGGTTCGAACGAGGCCTTTTCCAGCTCCGCGCACGGCTGGGTTCCGTCAGATCTCTTTCCCGTTACGGCTCCCATCGGGGCTCTCCCTCAGCCGCCGGAACGCGGAGCCGCACTCCCTCATCCCCGCCCTTCCGAGGCTCCGGACGCTGCAGCGCGGTTCCCAAGCCCGGCCGCTCACGGGACGGCGCGGTGCCACGAGGACGGGACGGCCGGGCGTGGAGCCGGACGCGGGGCGCTAAGCATGGCAGGCCGGGCCGGGCGGCACGGCGTCGCGAAGTCCTTTCAGAGAGGAGCAAAGCGCGGTAAGGACGGGCCCCGACAGCGCCGCGTCCCCGCGAAGTCACGGCCGGCCCGCACCTCCCGCAGCCGCAGCCGCCGGGCTCGAGCCGCTCCGCCGCCCCGTGAGCAGCACTCGAAACCGGGCTGCTGCGTCCCAGCCTCTGCCGCCGGTACCGATACCCGTACCGGTACCCGTACCCGTACCCGTACCCGTACCCGTACCCGTACCCGTGCCCGTACCCGTACCCGTACCGCTACGGGCCCCACCGCCCCGCCGCGCCGCGCCGCGACTCCGTCCCGTCCCGCCCCGCCGCCCCTCATTGGCCGCCCAGCGGTACACCTCCTTCCAGCTCGCCAATCGGCGCTCGGAGCTCCTTACGCCCCGCCCACCTCCGACTTGCCGGTCCCCCAGCGAGAGGAGCCGGATTGTTCCCGCCTCCTTCTAGCGTTTCCTACCGTCATTGGGCAGCGCGGGTGTTTATCTGGAGAAGAGAGGATGCCGATTGGCTTGAAGTGACGCGTGCGGCATCACGGGGCGGGCCTACGCTTACTGACGGGAACGAAAAGGGCGGGTTCTCGGGAGAGCGACGTGGGCTGCTATTGGCTGCGCAGTGTGAGGATGCCTCGCCTCTTCCGGTCAGGGACGAATGTGAGCGCGGCGGTCACCCGGCAACGGTGGTGGGGGTGGAATCGTCGGTATGGCGTGCGGCTAACACTCGAGCAGTGGAGCGCTGAGAGTCGGGGCTGGCTGCCGGAAAGGCTCTGCAGGAGGACGCGAGGCCCGCTGCGGTGCTGCCATGTTGGGCTGCCGCCCGCGCGCTCACTGCGCGGCTCCGGTTACCTCAGGCGGTACGCGGGTGGCGCTCCGCCGTAGCGCGTCGCAGCAAATCGATTGCGAGCACCGAGCCGCTGCCTCGGCTCTGCCGCCTCCCGCTGCGATCGCTAGGCAGCGTGGCCAGCGGCTCTACGCGTCTGAGGCCGAGCTGACCGCACGTACGGCCGTGTGAGGGACGGATACCGGCTGCGCTGGAAGCTGGGCAGTGCCGTAAACGGGAAACGGGTGTGCTCCTGGGAGACATGGTGAGAGTCGGAGTTGGGTCAAAGGCAGGGAGAGTGCTGCCTGTGAGGGCAGGGCGTGGTGTCTGAGCACAGCAGCTGGTGCTGAGCCAGCCGCAGCTGGTCACACAGCAGAGCTGAGCTGCCATCAACCTGTTTCCTTAGATAAAATCTCATCATTTTAGAGGCTCCGTCCTTCAGTTTCTCCAGCACTTCGGCACTGCATTTTGCATCCTGCTCTTGGGTTCAGCAGTTCTCCCAGGCGGTTTCAGGACACTTACTTCAGTTTGTTGATTTGCTTCCCAGCATCCACCTGCTGCTTGGGAACTGCGCTCTCATGCGTCAATTCTTAATCCTGCTGTCTCCATCTAGTGTCCAAATTGCACCTCTGCTCCTCTCAGCCCCTTGGAAAAACTGCAGACGTAACAGCCTGTATCACTGCCCCAGTATCCAATGAAGCTTATCGGGCTCAAATTCGAGTCAGTATCCACGGTGCCTCCAAACGATAAGGGACTGCAGGAGTTTAAAGAAGCATAAAGGTATTTGGACAAGCACCTCTTGAAATATCAAATTGAGGCTTGTTTCCTGGCTTTGATTGCTCTGGAAAGGCTTGATTCTGCAGCCGCGTGCAGTTCAACCAGGGTTTGTGATAGCTGGCAGGTGTGCAGGGCACTTGCTGGAGGCTCCCCACTTTGCAGCTGCTGCCTTAGCAGGCTGAGTGTTGAACACTCTGCACCAAGGCCCATCTGGCTTTAAAGGAGAATCATACTGTGCTTGTCCTAGAATGGTTTGTCCTCAACTGGATGTGAGAGAGCATTTCTCTGGTATGGGAGGGGAACCACCAGACTCTCCCTCGCTACTTGCATTTCTTGATGCTTTTTTAGAAGCGCTCCCTTAAGTTCCTCAGAAAACCAAGTTACTCTTTACCACCTGTGGGGCAGAAAGTGGGTAGGGATGGTTTTGCTGAAACATTTGGAGCTGTGAGTTGTGCCCAGGCCTGGACTTGTCAGGGCAAGAACACCCAGCAGCACTCTGCATACAAAACACAGGCCCCAGCAAGTTTCCTTTTGATCATTTATTTGGTTACAATACTGCACTGCTGCAGCAGTACTCATAACCTTCAATATAAATCATGTTATAAATCCAAGTCAGCACTCCCCAATCACCAGAAGCTGTCAAAATCAGCGGTTGCCAAGGATCACAGAATATCCTGAGTTGGAATGACAAGGATTATCAGGTCCAACTCCTGACTCTGCCTGACAATTCAAAAGAAACCTCAGATGCCCTTCATGCTTCCTGCCCTCTGGCCTCTTCACCCAGTGTCTCCAGGATCCTTGCTGGCACCTGGAGCTCCACCTGGGATCTGCACCCCAGCCTGAGCCATGATTGACTGGCAGCCATGCCTTCTCCTGCAGCTGGACATCTGCTGGAAGAGGTCCTGTCCCCTGTGGCTCTGCCTTCCTGGCCAGACACCACAGCAAAAGGAATCTGACCTCGTCTTTGCTGAAGATTGCTGGTAGGCGAAAATTGCTGTTGCCACCACAGCCGCACATCACATCACCACAGCCAGCCATCCTGCCCTGCCGCCGCAGGGCTGCCTCCTGCCCAGCTTGCTGTCCTTCCGCGCTGTGATCGCTTTCTTCATCCTCCCCACGGCCCCGCTCGTGGCCTCCATCAGCCCCAGGTTCCAGCAGACGTCTTCGCCAGGCGGTCGGTGCTCGGCTCACGTAGATGAGGGCTGCACACACGCGGAGCGAACTTTCATTTTACCGCCACGGAGGCTTGGCCTTGCAGCCCCGCCCCGCCGTGCAGCTCCCGGCAGAATGCCCGCACGCGCTTTTCGGCCGAGCCCGAGGCGGAGGGGTGGCGGCTGCAGCAGGAGAGCCCCGCAGTTCACGCCTTTCTGCCTCGGCACGGCCTAAAGCGAGGCGAGGCCGATCCGAGGAGGCGTTCGGGCGCCCGAGGGACCGCAAGCATCCTCCGGGAGAAGCGGCTCGGACGCCGGCATCCGCGCAGCCCTCGAGATGCTCGCAGACGCCGGGCCGGCCCCGCCGAGCCGTCCCGGAGCCCGCGACGGGCCGCTCGGCGAGGTCTGGCGGTCGGGCGGCAGGCAGGGGGCCGCTCGCGGGGCCGCAGGGGAGGCCGGGCTGGCGGCGAGGGGCCGGCGGCGGGCTCCAGAACAGGGAGTGCAGCTTGGCCACGTCCGCTCTCCCCATCCGCAGCACCCGCGCCGGCTGCCGGCTGCCGAACAGAGACTCGTCGCAGTAGGACGGAGCGCGGCTCCGCGACCTGCATGGGGAGACAGAGGGGACGGACGCTGGGAGCGGGGCCGGCCGGGATCCGACGGCGGCGGCGCCTACTGCCCGGTCCCGCTCACCTCCACCGGCTGCCCGCCCTGGGAACGCTGCTGCGGCCGGCCGCGCTCCCGGCGGGCCCCGAAACCGCCGCCATAGGGCGGCAGCTCCGCCCCTTCCGCGCCGCTGTGCGGAGCCGCTGCACGCTTCCGCCGCCAGCAGCGCGACACGAACGGGTGGGATCGTGAAGGGAGGGGGGTTGTGGTATGGGAGGGAGAGGCCTGATAGGGGTGGGTCGGGATGGCAGGGGCAGGTCGTGATAGTCGGGACGGGTCGTTAAGGGGGAGGTCATGATGTCCGGGGCGGGTTGCGTCCCGTGGCTGCGTCCCGTGAGCCCGCAGCTTGGATCCTCTCGGTCTCCTCGTGGCCCTGGCCGCAGAAGTGGCGTTTCCAGTCCCTGTGACCACCGGTGCTGATGTCCATAATCCCTTCTTCCAACAATAATATTTCGACTTACCTGTGTGTGTGCGTGCTGGTGAAGACACCTAATGGTTGTTATTAAGCAGAAGTAAGTTTTCTCATTTGATTGTTAAAGTTATGTGTGACTTTGTAAAATAATGAGTTGGCAGGCCTGTTGCAGAGGAAATGTCCAAAATACTTGCATGGTGCTGACAACCTGAAATTTTCAACATCTTAAAGAACAAAAAGCAAAAAGTAATTTGTTGTTAATTAGTTATGCTGTATGTATTCAATCAGTGCTCTGCTATTCCAACCACATGGGGTTGCAATGATCCCCAGCAGGGAAGCAATGATCACTGAAGGAACACGTGGCTCTTTGCTCAGCCAAGCTTGCTAAATCTGGGTTTACAAGGATGTCACATCAACGTGACAGGCCCTGTATGGCCCAGGGAGGTGCTTTGCTTCGATGTGGAGCTGGGTGGGATCCCCTGGGAGGTAGCTGGGCTCCTCCTGGGACTCGCAGAAGGAGAACTGTTTGCTCCAAGGAGATGATTGATTTGATTGCCCTGGGGAAAAGCTCCAGGAATGTACTTGTGTGCCCTCGAGAGATGGTTGTGTGGTTAACAAATGTGCTTGGGTTCCACAAAGAGATGTGTGGATGTCAGGAACACGCTTGGTTACCTCAAAAATATCCTTGAGGAGATGCATTTTGTTTTCTTTGTGCAAAGAAACCCACGTCTGTGTGCAGCCAGTTCTGCAAGCAGAATTGGTGGGAACTGATGTGGAAACATTCAGCAATGGCTTTGTTGTGGGAAAAGCTGAGATTTTAACTAGAGTAGTGGAAGTCCCATGTGACTGATAAGAGAAATGGCAGGTTAGGAGGGCTGGGATGAAGGTTGCCCATACAGTATCTGACAAAAATCCTTTCCCACCTATTCAAACTTGAAATGCAACAGTCTGAATCCATATCAATGGGAGATTGTTGATACTGCTTATTCCTGAAGCAGAAAAACAAAGAATGCTGGAGAAAGAAGAAAATGTCTTGTTATTTCATGTTGAAATCATTCATTTACACCAAACTCCTGGAATCTCTCTAGTAGACCACACGGGGAGAACTCATTGCTGTCTATAACTACTTGAAGGGAGATTGTAGTGAGGTGGGGGTTGGCCTATTCTCTTGTGTGGACTAGAGGGAATGGCTTCAAGCTGCAGCAGGCTGGATTTAGGCTGGATGTTAGGAAATACTGCTTTTCTGAAAGAGTGGTCAGGCACTGGAATGGGCTGCACGGGGGGGTGGTGGAGTCACCGACACTGCAGCTGTTCAAGGAACAGTTGGATTTTGTGTTGAGGGACATGATTTAGTGAGAAGTATTGGTGATGGGTGGATGGTTGGACTG